TCAATATATCAAAAATATCAATTTAACGTAAGATTTTGTAAATCTTTGTAAGACAATGTAAAAAATTATTAATGAGATTTTTTTCTTTTTTGTACTAAGTCTTCGAAATCTAATCTGTATTTTCCTTTTAAAGCATAATTCGATTAATTAAGACTTTGGATTAACATAAAACAGAGGTAAAAGATTACAATGAAGATTGTTAAAGACAGATGCAGTAGTAAAATAATGTGATGGAAGAGCCTATTTTCTTTACCTAGAATGGAAAAAAACTCAACAGAAAATCTGTCATTTATGGTGGAAGAGGGAGTGTTGTGCAACAAAAGTAAATAGTGATTTGCATCAGTTCTCAAACATTTTGGGCCCATGGCACATTTATACTCTTAAAAATTATTGAGGACTCCAGTGAATTTTTGCTTATGTGCCTTATAGTTATCAATACTTGCTGTTAGGTGTCATCAAAATGTAATAGAAATTAAAACTAAGAACTTTAAATATTTATTTTTAACTCATTTTAAAATAACAATAATAACCTTTTTGGAAAAAAATAACTATACTTTCCAAACAAAAAAAAAAAATTTCATTGAGAAGCGTGGCATTGTTTTGCATTTTTGCAAATCTCTTTGATGTCTAGCCAAGTAGAAGACAGCTGGATCCTCATATTTGCTTCTAGATTCAATCTGTTGTGATATGTCAAAGAAGAACATCCCATACTCTGTTAGGAGCAAAAGAAAAAGAGTTTTATTGAGGAATAATACACCTAAACTCCCACCCATCACTATTACCCCCCAAATATATTCCTTCTATGGAGATGCCCTGTGGCATGCTAACTCACCTAAAATATAGTTTCCATGAAGCTTCTGTGGAAGAAAAGGTCCCCCCACTCTGCTCTTTTAGCTTTTCAAATTTCACCAATTACCTTACCAGATTCTTTCTCCAGGATGTAGTCTCTGAATGCAAAGTCTCTTTGTAACATTTCCAATGGAGATTTCCAATTAGAGGAGCATGCTATATTAGAGATGTCACAACCATAAGGAACTGCAAACTGAAAGTACGTGTTTTGAATTATGTCTCAGTCTTTCTTAATAAATAGGTTTACACAGTCAGTTTTCTGCAAAATTCAGTGACTTATTAAAAGGGGATTCATTGGAAATGAAGGACCCCCCGGTGGTGCACTGGTTAAGCCCTGTTGTATAGAACAAAACCACTCAGTCCTTGAAATAAGATTAAAAAAAAAAAAAGTCACCATCGAATTCATTTTGACTCACAGTAACCCTATAGGACAGAGAAGAACTGCCCAATAGGGTTTTCAAGGAGTGGCTGGTGGATTCGAACTGCCAACCTTTTGCTTAGCAGCTGAACTCTTAACCACTGCGCCACCAGGGCTCCTGAAATAAGATTAGGAGGATTTATTCAGAAAAAAAAAAGGTAAATTCAAATGCAGAAAGATTCCAGCTAACTTAAGTGAAAACTGATGATTCCAGCAAGAGACCTTCTAACAAGAATGGATATAGTCCAAGGAACAAAAAAATTATAATACAATCATTTCATTGGTTAGTCTTTGGTTGAGGTCACAAGAAAGATGGGTCAGGAGGTGGGGAATGGGCTTTTATTGGATAATTGTGTACAGAAGCTTATAGTGATTGATTTCAGGGGCTAAATTATAGAGGTTTTCAATCATAGTTACTATCCTTCAGGAGAGGTCATAAAAACATCACTGGTTGATGTTAAACAGCTCTAACCAGATAACTCAGGGATTTGTGATAACCATTTGGTACCAGGATCTCATTTCCCAAAAACAACTTGTGATACAAAACCCTTTTAAGTTGTCTGGGAAACTTTAGATACTAAAGGCTGGCTCCAGGACCCTTTTAAAACATTTTTTTTGAATTATATCATTGTCATAAAGAAACATTTCTTACGCCCACTTTAGACAAAATGACACCTGTGTCATGATTCCCTTCCTTAGAGTGTATATCTTTCACATCCTGGCTTGACTGCAGAAACACTCCCTCAGTTCCTACAGCTACTAGCAATTAAGGAGCCAAATGGCAGACGCCTGTGAAAAGTCTGGGTTAACTCTGCTGAAAGCAGCTAGGCAAATAAAGAATCCCAATAGGCATGTAAAAGAACCAGTTTAATTCAGCAAAAAACTGAGTTTGATTCAATCATAAAGTCTTCACGAACTTCTTTACTGCCCTGGGCTGCTAAATAAGGTCAGCAGTTCCGCAGTCGGAACCCACCAGCTGCTCCAGCGAGAGAAAGATCTGGCTTCTGTAAAGATCACAGCCTTGGAATCCCTGTGGCGGCAGTTAAACTCTGTCATACACGGTCGCTATGAGTCCGAATGGACTCGAGGGCAGACAACAACAACATTGGGAATGAGTGAGTTGTAGAAATCTGTCAAAACCAAAAATAATTCCCGCGCCTCAACCACGTGTAAGGGACAAAGCATCTGGCGCTGAAAGAGCACTCCAGAATAAGAGCGATAATACAGTACAAAGCTAGGTGTGTTGAAAGCAAAATAATATCCGTGAAGCTGATAAAGGCTTTAGAATTATAAAACGCAAAGTTCCTTCCAGAAGTTCCACGGACTTCTGTTTCTCTTGCCAAAATAGAATAACAGTAACCAGATTTATCCTCCTGCCTGAATCAACTAAACAAACTAAAAAAGCAAACAGATAAAATATATGATTTATTTTCAAGACACTGGGCATCAAGCAGCGAAGCAGTAAAGGACAATGTTTCTCTGGAAACAAAGGAGGTGAAAAGCCCCGCGAGTGGATTGTAAACCCAGTTTACCGTCCTGAGAATTTCGAGGAGACGGCTGCTCACACTGCCAGTAAGGCCCTAACGAAGCCATACCTTGGGCTGATCTCGGAGAAGCCGCCCTCTTCTTTCCAGTTTTCGGCTCTCTTGGAGATGGTTCCTCCTTCAGCCCAACCAGGGAGCGCGAAGAGGTGCGGACAGACGAGTTTCGGGGCGGCAGAACCCGCTGCTCCGCCCCAGCCCCGCGCCCTCCCACCTCCCTGCAGGCTCCCTCGCGTCCCTCCACCCACTCCCAGATCCTTACCCCAGATCCTTACCCCCCGCAGGTTCCCGCCTCAACCTCCAGCCCCGGCCCGGGAGAGTCCCGGGGGAAGCGGCCGCCCCCCAGTCCTTGCCGAGCGGGGAGGTGACTGCGGGAGACCACAGCTGCCCAAGGCCAGCCGCACCACCAGCTGGCGGGCAGTTTGCTTTAGATTGTTTAGGTTTTCTTTCTCCGTGGTGGCGGCGGCGCAGAAGGAGGCCGAAAGAAGAGGAAACCGGAAGCGGTTGCGGTTCTGTAACCAAGCGCTGCTTCTCCGATTCACAGCGACCCCATGGGGTTTCAAAGATTATAATCTCTACAGAAGTAGACTGCCACATCCTTCTCCCGCGGAGCCACTGGTGGTTTCCAACCGCCCATGGTTCGGTCGGCATTTGATCGCTTTAACCACTGCGCCACCAGGGCTTCTTAAATCTTAAGACCCAGCAGGAGGGAACCTAACCCTCCAGCTGGGAGCGTCTTTTCCGGGCCTGGTGGGTCGGGAGCAGGACGAGAGGAAGCCTCTATCCCAATTCTGGGGCATGACCAGAGTATTCAGGGGAACCTAGCTCAGGGCAATCTCCCGAACTCTTTCGTTTCTGGCAAGACAGAGGAGTCTCCCCAAGGGCGCCACAGACGGGCAGTGCGCTCCTTCTCTTTAGGGACAAGCCCTGTCTCCACCACCCTTTCTTCGAATTTTGGGGGTGATCAGATTTCAAGGCTGAAGAGCTACTCATCGTACTGTTTGATAAAAACAAACAAATATATATAAAAGAGGCCATTATACTAACTGGGCTCCAAGACCTGACTCCTTACCTTAGCAAAGGGCTGCCAACTCAGCTAACCTTACATAGCTCAGCAAATAAGGTTGAACAATAGGTTCCAAACAATCAAGTGTTAGCTGGCTTCATAATAGGTTCCAAAAACAACCAAGTGTTAGCTGGCTTTGCTTACCCATTTGCCTGATAAAAGCACTCCGCTCGGGTTCCTGGGAGTGGAGCTCCCAGTCACTTTGGTTTGGGTTGCTGCCTGATTCCTGAATCCTGGTGTGCTTGAATAAAATCACCAAATATTTTATTAAAGATTGAATTTTTCTTTCTACAGATTTGTCCAGTTGGATCAACGCTTACATGTTGTGAACTAGCAGGAAAACCATAGAGTGGATTCTGACTCCTAGTGACCCTATAGGACAGAGTCCCACAGGGTTATCAAGGATTCGACCTGCCAACCTTTTGGTTAGCAGACAAACTCTTAATTACTACACCACCAGGGCTCCAAAGCAGTCCAACGTCTTACAGTTACAGAAACATTCACATAGGGTTAAAAGAGGAACTAAACCATATATTAAGCATTTACAGGAAAATTAATGAATATGTTGTAATGATCACATTCAGACTGGATATATGTTAAACAGTTACAGTAAAAACTATGCATATTAATAGAAATTATAGCAAAGACTATGAATATACTAAAACATGTTAAGTAGCTTACAAGATAAAACCACAATGAATTTGATCTCTACTTTTGATTGGTTGATACTTTATAAGAGACCATACGTTTTATTAAGGGTTTCCTTAGAACAAGGTGTAAAACATATTTTCTAGGAGCAGTAAAGCAGAACTAGGTTCTGGACAATGGCTAAGGGGCCAAGATGGATTCTGGCCTGTACTTGAGGCAGAAGCCTCTGTTATGTCAACAAGCATTGAAAAGTAACCTAACAAGCTGTAAAATGGAATCTGGATTTTATATTAAAGCTAAAGATGAAGTCAGGGCTATAGCTGTAAGCCTCAGCTTTCCACAAACTAAAAAACATAACAAAACCTGTTGCCATCAAGTATGACTCATAGTGACGCTATAGGACAGAATAGCACTGCCCCACAGGGTTTCCAAGGAACAATTAGTGGATTGAAACTGCCGACCTTTTGGTTAGCAGCTGAGTTCCTAACCATTACACCACCAGGGCTTCACAAACTAAGTGCCTCAGATTTTAAACACTTACTCAATGTGTAATTATAGATTTGTCCAGTTGGAGCAGCACTTACATATATATTATTGAAACAAAACAGTAGCTACAGAAATCAGTGGTAGAGCAAGATCCCTCGCCACAGATGATTTTAATCTTTGACATTATTTATAATTTCCTGCACATGGTGATGGTGATGATAAAAAGCAGATGACTTTTTTGTTGGTATTTTGTCAGTAACTGTTTTAACTAACTCTTGAGAAACTGTTTTAATTCTGGATCCAGGCTTTCATGGAAGCTGGGGTAACCCAGACAGGCTCTTGCTCTTAGGTGTCCTTTTGAAACTTGAGCCTTGAAAACTGTGGTTCCTAAAAGCCAGGTCTGAGTCAAACAATGGCCTAGATAAATTGTAAGATCGTTTGTCCTTGGCATTGTTGTCTTTTTGAAGAATTCAGTCAGTTTCAGGAAACGGACTCCAAAGGCCAGACTGGGAGCTGCATAAGAGCACTCCAAAACTGAGGCACCTTACATAACTAAGTGATTGACAGTCCGAATCCAAACTTCTCTTTTGCCCAATATCTCCCCCACCTTTTTTTTCTGCTTTCAGGATATGTGCACCCCCACCCTTCCCTCAGGTGAACAACCATGTGGTTATGCTTACTTAAGACTGATAAAAATGTTCTGTTCTCAGAAAGAATGCTTGTAGTTGATGAATGACAAAGTTGTGGTTTGTGGTTAAGCAAGTGATAAGAACATTCCGGGAAGGGAATGACAAGAATGTTCCATGAAAATATGTTCTTGTAAGATTGTTCTCAGAAAATTGCTTGCACAATTTGCTCCAAGAAAGTCTATGATAGAAAATAGATTAAATGACATTGTGAAAAGTTTACTTGTGACTCATGTGTAAACCCCAGCTCTCATGTGTAAAAATCCCTCTCCCCTTTCCGACTTTGGAGCATTTAGCATTTTCACTTTATGCTGCCCAACTGCAGTTGCTTTATTCCTCAATAAAATTCATTTCTTTCTACTCCCGACAGAATAAGAAGTTTGTTTTGCTTTGACAGAGGTATGTTTAGGGTAAATCAGTAATTATTTTAATTGTTCAAGGCAATGCTGTATGAAAATCCTTCCCAACCATGAATTTCTTTATCAGTTCCTTTTAGACCCTTTTTTTCCATGGCAATGCCGATAAGATTTGGTATAAGAATTTTGAAAGTTCTTCTCATCTTCAGAACATTCTTGACAGTCTAGTCGAAACGCTACCCTAAATTGCAAATCGTGTATTCAAAAAAACGTCAATCAATTTCTATTATTGGCTTAATGTGATGTTTGTTTTAACACTCTTAAAGCCCAGTGCCATAGGAACATATAGCCACCCTTAACCTAGAATCATCTATTACAAATGTTACGTACACAAAGCTATGATAAGTGTGCTCTGAAATATGTACCATGAGTTACCAATCCTGAGCAAAGTTCATTTGCTGTCAGAGCCTCTTATACACTTATCTGACAAAAGGCACCTTGGAAACCACTAGAGACTACATTAAGCAAATTAAAGCACCAACTCATAAAGGAAAAAGGATTGAGGCTGATAACTATAGTTTGCTTTGCTATGTCCACGGTAATATTGTTAAAGAGAATTTTTATCCTTTCATCCATTTACCCTTGCCGAGGAGTACATATAATTTTCAAAATGTTTATTTTACAATGCAGGTACAGCTTTCAGATCAGAACTTTGTGCATCAGAATCACCTGTGGGATTAAAAAACAAACAAACAAACAAACAAAAACCCCCAAACAACAACAGCAATATGCAGAAGATCGTGAATGAGAAGGCCAGGACTGGGATGCACAGACTATCCTTATGAGCATCAGAAGTCAGAGCCTCAGCTTGAAGGTACCTAATCATAGAGATAACAATAGAATGCAGCTTATAAAGCAAACAAACAAAACTTTACCCTAATAGAAGGCAACAAAGATAATATAAAATGCAGAAACAGCTATATATATATATATAAACTTAAAAGATGATATTTCAAAAAAAGTAAAATAATAATGATTGATTATAAACAATCTAGATGTGCATCTTAAGGGCAAAAGATCTTAGATTGGAATATAAAACAAAATCTAATTTTTTTTGTATATACAAGAGAAACATCAACATTACCTTCAGACAAAGCCATATCATAATCCTCCCCCCACTTTAATTTACATTCATGTACTTTGTCACTGCTTATAAATACAAAAAGGATACATGTCTGATGCCACATGATGCAGTAAGATGATCATCTTAGTTGATAATAAAATGCCCTTCTGTAGCATTTCAGAAGTACTGCCTGAAGAAGTAGCTCCACCTTTTGACTATCACCTTCAGGAAGTACAAGAAACCACATACTATGTTAATATCAAAGTTTATTGCTTATGTAACAAATGTTTTGCTATATAGATGGATAATACTAATTTTATTCAATAGTTTAACTCATTACCTATTTGGGAGATCAGTTTTTGTCCTTTTCTATTTTAATTCTTTTTTTTTTTTTAACTATAACAATTATTTTCTGTGTTTTTATTTTTTGGAAATAGGGAAAATATCCACCCATTGTAAACGTTATGGATTATGCTTCATTATTACTTAGTTAAGCATTTCTCAACTTTTAGTTTGAGCAAAAATGGTTTTGTTTTTCAGCAATAGAAGTTAGTCTGGGTTCTCTAGAGGAGCAAAGCCAGTGAAGTGTATATAGATATATGTAGGGAAATTTATTTCAAGGAAATGGTCACACAATCGTGAGGAAATGGTTCACACAATTGTAAGAGCTGACAAGTCCCAAATCCATGGATCAGACAACAGGCCAAGGATCTCTGCTGGCTCACATGGTTGCAGGGGCTGATGAACTCAAACTCTGCAGGTCAGGTGGCAAGCTAGGCCTCTGCTGGCTAAGGGGGTTGTACAGGTTGCTGAATCCAAAATCGGTAAGTCAAGTGGCAGGCCAGAGACTTCTGCAGGCTT